ACTCCTCCCGTCTGTTCCGTTGTTCGCATGAAAATACTTCTGAAATATGGAATATGCATACGTTCAGCCAGTTGTTGCAGTTGTATGTTGGTAGTTGCACCTGTTGGAAATTTTAACGTTTTTATTTACGAAAGATAACTACATTCATTACTCACAAATGTCTATACAAATATAAAAGATTAATGTTTGGTATAAACTCAGCACCCGAGATCTTTCAAAGAATCATGGAGAGACTCCTGGCGCCGTGTGCCAACTCTCTTAATTACATAGACGATATCATCATCTTTGGAAGCACAGAGGAGGAACATGACGAAGCAGTCGACCAAGTATTAAGAATGTGCAAAAAGTTGGCATATTTTTAAATCACAAGAAATGTGAATGGAAGGTGACGTCTTTAAAGTTTCTGGGGCATATTCCATCCAGAGACGGAATAGCCCCAGACCCAGATAAATTAAGAACCATCATAGATTTCAGGGCACCGTCGACCAAAGAGGAGGTGAGAAGTTTCCTGGGGCTGGTGACATTTGTAGGGAAATTTATCTTCGATATAGCTGATACCACCTATCCTTTAAGGGGCCTACTAAAACAAGACACAAAATTCATCTGGGGACGTGAACAGGAAGTTGCATTTAACAAGCTCAAAATCGCAGTGGCCGCAGTGCCCAAGCTGTCATATTTCAACCCAAACAACCAGACAAGATTCATAGCGGACGCTAGCCCAGTAGCTCTCGGCGCGGTACTGATACAATTCAATAGGGGCAAATAATATCATTCGCAAGCAAGAGCCTTTCGGAAGTGGAAAAGAGATATTCCCAATCAGAGAAAGAAAGTCTGGCACTAGTCTGGGCTGTTGAAAGATTCTACTACTATTTGGCAGGACTGGAGTTTGAACTAGTGACGGATCACAAGCCACTGGAAACCATCTTCAAACCCACATCGAAACCTCCAGCGCGAATAGAGAGGAGGTTATTAAGACTGCAGTTATTCAGATTTAAAGTCATCTACAAAGCAGGGAAGACAAATATTGCGGACTCGGTATCGCGACTCTGCAGAATTGAAGAAGTCAATTCTTTCGATGAAAACTGTGAATACAATATCTTCCACATCGTAGCACATGCAACCCCAGCGAATCTTATCATCACCGAGATCGCAGAACAAAGCGCAACAGACGAAGAAATAATTGAGGCAACCACGCACTTAAAAAACAACTCCTGGGAAGGTCACAAGAACAACGCATATTATCCTTTTCGAAACGAACTGGCGTCTGTTGGCAGCATTCTTTTGTGGGGTAATCGATTGATCGTCCCGGAAAAACTCCGATAACGAGTTCTGGCACATGTGAGTCATCCGGGAGCAGCCGCGATGAAGCGTAGAATCCGTGCCAAAGTTTGGTGGCCATTAGTAGACAGAGAGGTGGAAAAATTTGTGAAACAATGCCGAGATTGCCTACTGGTATCCCAATCGACCAGGCCGGTACCGATGAAAAGACATAAATTTCCGAATGAACCTTGGCAATGTCTCGCAACAGATCTAGTGGGACCCCTGCCAAACCATAATTTTGTGCTAGTAGTAATAGATTATTACTCTCGCTATGTCGAAGTCGCGTTCTTGAGAAAGATCACATCAGAAACCATCATAAACTCTCTAGAAGCCATGTTCGCAAGGCTGGGAATACCGAAATCGCTGAGGGCCGACAACGGTCGTCAATTCGTCAATGAGGAGTTCCGGAAATTCTGCCAGAGGAACGACAAACTAATAACTTCGCCCCTATATTGGCCACAAGCAAATGGTGAAATCGAAAACATAAATCGATCTCTAGTAAAACGCTTGAAAAAAAAACGCACACTAATAAGCGCGACTATAAAAAAGAAATTGAAAAGTTTTTACTAGCACACAACGTAACGCCTCACGGAACAACGGGGATAACACCATCGGAACTCATATGCGGCCGAATGATCAGAGACAGCATCCCTACTTGAAGACCTATCAGAAAATCAAATCAAGTCGGGAGCTAGAGACATGGACTGCATAAATAAACAGAAAGAAGGCTTCCGTTTCCGGTAATGTAAGAGCGTGGACGAGTGCAAAGTAGTGTGTGAGAAAGTAAGAAAGAGGAGTGTGAAGAGTAAAAGAGAGAGTGAAAGGAGGGGTGGATTGGAAAGTGTGGGTGGGTAGAGAAGTGAAGGAATGAAAGAAAGGGCAGGGGATAGGAAGGGAAAAAATAAGGAAGAAAGAGACGAATTCGGAAGAGGTTAGGAAGGAAAGTAAGAGGAGAGGGTGGCGACACCTGGTGGAGTAGGTAGAGGAAGTTGGAACGGGAGACGGACAGGCATAGA